TCGTCGGATGGGTTGCCTACCCACACCCCGGCCAGGCGCTTTGTAGGCAACCAAGCCGGCACTCATGTTGTACGGTATGTTTGGCTTAGGCGAGTTGGTCGGTGCCTCTGAATAATGTCTTCGCGTTCAAAAACTTAAAAGCGCCTAAGCTGCCTGAGTTGCCACGTACTAAAAGTTGCAGTAGTTTTTTTTGTTTTTTTGTACGATTTTCCCAAACTCTTTCTCTCTATTTGGCACGGCTGTCACATACTTTTTTATCGGTGAATTTCGTCACGCCCCATATCAGTTATTTATTGAGTAGGAGTTGAGTATCAACAATAACGGAACTACGTGAAATGTTTGTCGACACAATCAAAGCTAGAATAATTTAAGGTCTGCAAATACTGGATGATGTGACACTTATGCTGATAACATATCACGAAGATGATGGGATCCACCGTGTGCTGGGCATACAGACATCAATCAGGGTCTGGGTGATGTGATCTCATAGGCACAAATTTCGTCGTTTTGATATCAGCTGACTGTTTGGCAAACAAGTACACTGCAAGGGAGAAGCGATACAACGCGAGGACGACCTGAGGTCGTACACGTGCCGGTCTCAGCGTAGGGGTGGCTGACTTCGGGTAAACAACGGCTCGGTGTAAACATCTCTCTCTCTCTCTCTCTCTCTCTCTCTCTCTCTCTCTCTCTCTCCCTCTCCCTCTCTCTCCCTCTCTCGCCCTCTCTCGCACTCTGATCTTGCTTTCAATTGAGTATTGTTCACTGGCCAGGCGTGTGAATCTGTACATGTGTGTGAATGTGCTAGTGTGTGTGTGGAAGAGAATGGCACAACATATTGTCGAGATGAGACAACCGGAATAGGCAGTAGGAAGCTACATGACTGTCAAATCAAAGTGGTCACTTGGCAATGGCAATCACTTTATGTAACATTACACGAAGCTCTTTGTTACTTACGTGCGTGCGTGTGTAGCATCGGTTATCCAATTTATTTTCCGTGACTGTCTTACACAAATTACTTTCAAGGGCTTCCCGAGCATAAATTGCAGTGGAACAATTGTCACAGATTTTGGTTTATACAACATTTAAAATTAGATTTCATTTGACTATAGCCTCATTAAAATCTGCCTGGCCAATTTTGAGAAATATTTAATTTAACATCAAAACCATCACGAAAATCGGCAAAATGCTAAGCCAACAATAGTTCTAACTTCTATCATTCTTTCTGTCGATCCCTATGCGGCTACCTTTTCACTTAACAGTAAAATGTATGAGACAAAAATTCAAGACCGAAAATTAAGCTTCCGAACGATGTGGTCAAAAGTTTCCTACGACGTTCTAGTCGAGAGCGACACCAAGCTGAATGATGTGCGACATTCCCGCTTATTCTTCGCGTCTTATTTTTAATTTCTAGTGCAGTTGGTTTTAATTTAAACATTGTAATGTAATTTACAGCGTCATATGTTATTGTGGTGACTTCAGAACGAAGAGCCACAACACTAACCATCAAGTTTTGAAGACTTCCCTCTCTTCTAATTTTCAACGCTCAATCTATTGAAGTGATTAATTGAATGATTAATTCTTCGTGTGCATCATAGGCCTACGATTGTTCGTTAAAACCTCAGGGGCCGATTAACGCGTTAGCGTTAGAATTTTTTTGTCTTCCCCACTCTTGTGCAAAATTCCAGCCGAAGTTCTTCTGCTATGGTCATTTGCACGTGGCCGCCACGTGAACGTGCCGCGCGGCCGTGATACCGAAAACAAGTCAGGGAATCTCCGCGGGGGAGTTGGAGGGGGTGGGGGAATCCCCCCTCCCTCTTATTTCGACCTCATGTCCCCTTTGCGTACGATGCGTCACAAACATTCGTTCGGAATTCCGTTTGCGTTACAGTGCGTAGGGGGATGAGCCGCGAGCTGGCTGAATAAAGCAATGACTTCTTGATATTGCGATACGTTTTCTGGGAAAAGCCACAATGTATGTAAACGGGTTGCGGCCGACGCTGTTGACGCCACTGACACCGGATTGGGACTGCGGGGGCCGTTTGTCAATGTTTAAAATTCGTTCAACACGGCGATCAAGCACATTGTTTGCTCCTCAAAGTATGTTTTCTCGCTGCTTATATTTCTTCAAATAATTTTGTAGCTGTATACTTTCCTTTACATCCATTGGGATGGGCAGTGGTCCGCACATAACGACTTCCCCACTATGTATACATGCGAAAAACTTCCACCTCGCCCCTGCAATATGAATGACGACGGAAAGCGACACTTGCATTTCGAGCACGGACATATCCTCGGCCGGCAGTTTCCATCCGCGTCCCTGCCAATCAGAACCACCACAATCGCGCTTCTCTCTCCCTCTCTCACGCCACCCTCGTACAGACAGTGGTCCTTTCCACGGGCCTAACTGCAACGAGTTCGCCATCACTCACTGTCCATTGCATAGCCTCCACCACCAGACGGACGGCAAGGATCACGGAAAAATTTGTCAATGCAACGCAGGGCAGCGCCCTGTGCACGGGCCGAGCCTCGGCGGGGGGCAGAGTTTGTTCCTCGAGTGCCCACTTGCGTCCTAACTCGTACATACCCTCTCTCTCTGGCATGTACTAATGGCGTACTAAAAAGTACCAACATGATAATAATAATACCTATAGGTGTTATATTAGTGCACTAATGACTGCTTAGTGAATTACCGCTTCTCTTCGAAGCCAATATGTTTGGCATTTTGCTTTGACTGCCAATCGTTATAACATATCTGCTGCTATAGTAAACACAATTGTGTGAACCCTGAACCCTCTCTGCCTTGCACTGTGTTGTTTGATCCTTCCAACCCTGTCCGTCTTCGTACAGAGTGTGACGGAGGCCTCCCGGCAGCAGGACGGTGTGGTGGACCCCCACGCGCACCTCACTGAGGCCGTGGGCAACGTGGTCAACTCGGTGGTGTTTGGCCGCACGTGGGCGCCGGACGACCCCACGTGGCTGTGGCTGCAGCGCATCCAGGACGAGGGCACCAAGCTCATCGGCGTGGCGGGCGCCATCAACTTCCTGCCCTTCTTGCGGTAAGTGCGAAATATTTTCAGAAATTTTCGAAAAATTTCCAAAAAGACGAAAAATTTCCGGGGTCTAAGAAGTTTTCCAGAAAATTTTGGTAAACTTTCCAGTTCTTCCAACCCTATCAGTAACCCCTTTTAGACAGTCCCGTGCCTTTATCTCTCTGGCCAGAAGGTATAAATACTCCAGCCGCTTCGTTCCAGTTTGATTAGAAGCGCATTCGCAGGTGAATGTCGCGATTTGTACTTGCTGCCGTTGTCGCCTGTCGCCCGTCTCTCTACCCCCATAAAGCGCAGGGCAGTTCATGCACCTCTGCAGCCTATTCACTGAGGGGGGCGGAGCGGAGCGGCGGCCGCGTCCTCCCTTTGTGGGTGCTGCTCCGCCCGGCTCGCCGCCGCCGCCGCCGTCCCGTCCCCACGGTGCTGTGCGCCACCCCGGGCCCACGGGGGTCAACGGCCTCTCCCTCCTCTCCCCCCCTGCACGGCTCCCCCCGCCCCGGGACAGTTTTGCGCGCCCCGCCGCTCTTATGCATATGCAGTGCTCGCTCGGGGATGGTCCGGGACAACGACCCCTGGAGGTTAGGGTATTGCCCCGCTGCTGCTGCTGCACCGGCGTGGCGTGGCGTGGCCCCCCGCCTGGTCCATGGAGGTGTGGTGAGGTGAGAAGAGAGGCTGTCGGAGGCCGGCGGCCGCTGCGGTGCGGGCTGCCCGGGCCGCGGGCGCTGCTCCTCTGTGAGATCGTGGCGTGCCTCGCGATTTGTCATTGTCTTGTCGGCTTATGGAGGGGGTATAGGGAGCCTGGAGGCTGCCGGAGGGGGCGCGCTGCCCGCGGGAACTACTGCTGCTGCCGTGGCCGTCGTCACCTTCGTCACCCACAGGGGAGGACAACTCCCCGACTTTCACCGAGATCGGGAATCGCAAAGTCGCAAAATCGGGGAGCTGTCCGATCAGATCACCCACGAGGAAGACCATGCATGGAGGCGGGCGCCCTCTCGTCTCGTCCAGCAGGGGAAAATTTTGGACTCGTCGAGCGCCTCCGTAAGCAGGAAGCCGGGGCCCCGTCCTGGGGAGACCGCGGAGGGGGCGTCCCCTACCTTGCACTTTCTATGCCCCTTCTCCCTCC